AAAAAAAAAAAAAAAAAAAAAAAAAAAAAAAAAAAAAAAAATATTTTTTTTTTTTTCTTCTTATTTGCTTTCTTTACGAATTTATTTGCTTTATATATATACATATATTTTATTTATTAGTAACAGCAACCATAAAATATTAACAAATTAAATGATCGGAATATAAGCATGCAATATATTGTACACATATATATATATAGCACCAAACAAATGAACAAACAAACAAAAAAATATATTCATAAACCCTAAACCCTAAACCCTAAACCCTAAACTCACCGGCCAGCCATTTATTAACTCCACAAACTCCTGAACAAACACAAGCGGAAACCCTCAAGCTCAGCGAATGAAGAATTTCCCAACTCCTAAACCCTAAACCCTAAAAAACCCTAAACCCTAGAAACCCTAAACCCTAGAAACCCTAAACCCTTACCGCGATAGCAGGTCGCAAATCGCAGACCGCTTCTCCAGCCTTGGGAGTCGCGAAGGTCAAGGCAATTAACATCGAAGAACTCTCAGACCATTCAGGATCCTGCACCACAAACCCTAAACCCTAAACCCTAAACCCTAAACCCTAGACCGTAGACCCTGGAAGGGGGTTCTACAGCACTCAAAAAAACTAAGGGTATAGGGTTGAGGGTTTAGGGTTTGTGGTTTACCTGGGAAGGAAATATAAGAGGAAGAGGCCTAATAGTCATTTGTAGGTCTCTGGCGTTGTTGCTGCTGTTGAAGCTGCTGCTGCTGCTGCTGCTGCCGTGGCTCAGTCGCTCTAAGGAACGAACTAAATGCCGCACCTTCGATTCAACCCATCCTCGCCACTTACGTTGAACCTAACACAATGCAGTAGCAGCAGCAGCAGCAACAGCAGCAAAATATGATGCAGCAGTAGCAGCAGCAGCAGCAGCAGCAGCAGCAAACAGCATTAGCTACAGCACGACCCAACACCAGCTAAAGCAACAAGAAAAGAAAAAGCAGCAGCACGAGCACAATCTCCACCGCAATCACCATTAGCAGCATTAGCAGCAGAATCATTAGCAGCAGCAGCAACAGCAGCAGGAGCAGGAGCAGCAGCAGGAGCAGGAGCAGCAGCAAATACTTACAGCCTCTGATTTGGCTAAGACTTGTAATTCTAAGAAATGTTTGAATACCGCCAAATAATCAACAGGCGTTAAGACATCCAACAATACTTCCCTCCATGCCTGTAGTGTCTGTGGCTCTTTTGTTGTTGTTGCTGCTGTTGCTGCTGTTGCTGCTGTTGGTGTTGCTGCTGCTGCTGCTGCTGCTGTTGCTGCTGTTGAACCTCCTGCTATTGATGTATTATTATTATTACCTGCTGCTGCTGCTGCTGCCCATGCACCAAATCTCTTAGCTGCTGCCTCTAATTCCTCAGAAATAACTCTCTTTGTTGAATGGGATACATTATGTGTTGAATTCATAGCAGGAAATGCTGGTGTTATTATCTTCAATAAATGATGACGATCCTATACATAAACCCTAAACCCTAAACCCTAAACCCTAAACCCTAATTAACCCTAATTAACCCTAATTAACCATAATTAACCATAATAAACCCTAATAAACCCTAATAAACCCTAATAAACCCTAATATATAGTGCCATTAAAATGTTCTACATACAATAAACAACAACCCCAACAACCCCCACCACCAACAAGAACAAAACAAATAAAATAAATAAATAAATAAATTAAATAAATAAATAAATAAATAATGAATATAGATTTACCTGTACATATAGCTGTGGGTTCCATACTTTGAATTCAGGTACTCCCTTAACAGTTTGTGATTCTTGTATTTTGCATAGAACAACAGGACTTCTACTCCATTGCCATTGTGTATATACAGTAAAGAATCTTTGTATAATAAGAGAAGGAGGGAAATTAGGATATAATTGGCAACATCTAGCAACAAGAATAGCCCAACTTATACCACCAAGATAACCCATTACATTACTATATATACCCCTACTTTTTGCCCATTGTTTAATAAATCGTAAACTTGTCTTAAATACTAATTTATTAGGTACTAATGTTAATAACATATCTGCTACCCTACTACCATTAAGACTTCTTGCTGTTTTCTCATCAGTATGACGTAATATATCATTATCTTTATATAGACCTATCCATGAGGTGGGTATACACCGTAGATATAAACGTGCAAATAATAAGTCTATATCTACACCAGAGAATGTAAACTTTAATACAGGTGTATAGGCATCAGGTACAGGTGTTATTTTTTTTATACGATTATCTTGTTGTAATTTAAGAAAAAAAGAAGAAAAAAATAAATCACGTGTAATATGTTTAGGACATACACATAATGCATCTATATCACTACCAGGTGTACATACACCTAAACGGTATGACCCAAATGTGAATATTTTTCCTCCTGTATATCTAGCCTCTGTAGGATCTAATCCTTGTTCTATACCACACTCTATTATCCAATCTCTTAATAATTTATTTAATTCCCCTAATACAATTTCTTTCTCTCTTGCTCCTGCTGCTGTCTCGTATACACCTGAATATCTTAATATTCTTACCAATTCTACACTCTTATGTAAATCTATTATACTTCCTGTCTTTAAGGAAATTGGTCTTGTTACTCCATACTTATATCCTATACAAGTTGTTATACGTGGACAGTCACCCATCACGTACGCCTCCAACGAATTTGGGCTCAATGTAGACGAGCCTGTAGTACACGTAGTAGAGGTAGACGTAGAGGACGAAGACGTAGAGGAGGTAGAGGTACAGGTAGACGAGGACGTAGAGGAAGAAGAAGAAGAAGTATTATTTGTATTACTTGTAGTATTAGTAGTAATAGATGTTATACAAGATGATGATGATTGAGTTAATACACTATTTCCTTCTATTGAGGAAGAAGAAGAGGAAGAAGAAGAAGAAGAAGAAGGAGAAGAAGGAGGAGGAAGGGATGATGTATGGATACTGTCTGATGAAGATACAGGTGTCCATACACTTGAAGATACTGCTGTTGTTGTTGCTGCTGCTGTTGTTGCTCCTGAATCAGGGCCAGCAACAGAAGGGGTAGCAGCATCAGTAGGAGCAGGAGCAGCAGAAGAAGGAACAACAACACCAGGAGGGGAGGAAGAAGAAGAAGGAGGAGGAGGACCACCACCAGGAGGAGCTCCGGTACATGGGGATGGTGATAATAAACATGCAGCAGCTGCTGCTGCTGTAGCACTGTTACCACCAGGAGGTATCATTGCTGTTCTATATGCTGCTGCTGCTGCTGCTGCGGCTGCTGCTGCAGCTGTCGTTGCTGTTGCTGCCGCACTTGATGATGGACCCCCAGGAGGCATCCGAGGGGTCGGGTGATGTAATTGCTGCATTTCAATCACTTATTTAATAATATATACAAATAAAAAGAAGAAATGACGCCAATAGAGGCAAAAAACCTGCAAAGAGGCGCCCTGTCGTGTATATATACATACATATATGATTATACATATACGTATATACGAAGAGAGGGGGTGTGGCGTGTGTTGAGCGAAAGCAAGAAAAAAAGCGCTTTTTAATTTCGTTTTTATACATAAAAAGAGAAAAACAAGAAATTATACATTTAGTGCCGCTTTTTTCCTCAATTTTAACAAAGCGACATACTCCATTGCCGTTGCTGATGTTGCTTTCTGTAGACGGCTATAGGGAATAATAAACTTGAATGATTGAATATATACACCTTGCGGTGTATAGGCAGCTCAATCCAATAAACTTTTTCCTTAAGTTTCTTATATACCCTTGTCTTTCTTTCTTGAAATTAGATCCTTTTACTCCCTTCCCTTTTAATTTAATCGCGCCTTTCCGCCTCTGCATGCATACAGCCGCTACAGAAGCAAGAGAGAAGCCTCGCAGCCCCCTCTATGGTAAACAACCTTCAGGTGTACGTATATGTGTATATTCATTAACAACCGTATAACAATAACAACAGTATATTTAATTAAAAGTATTTATTCTTTATTTAAATCCTCCATAGTAATTTCATTTACCTACAGCAGACAAGCTCATTACTTATTGCCACCGTCGGCTGATGGCTACCTCTGCTTGTTCATCTAGCTGCAAAAACAGCTGTGGTGGTCATATAAAGATATCAATAGAGACGTGAATAATAAACAAAATAAATATATTTTAATTAATTCTTTTCTTATTTGATTTCATTTAAACATATAAATTAATCTTACACAGCGGTTTATCATGGATTATATTAGCATCCCTTCCTTATATGAGCTGGCAAACTGACATCACCGCCGCCTCTACACTAAATAATTCATTCTTTATATGGCTTATACTCCCTCACAGTTAATCTGTCTCTGATTAGGAGCATCAAGAATAAAACAGTTGTTGCTGCTTCTGCTGCTGCAGCTGCTGCAGCTGCTGGTGGTTGTTGCTGCCGGTGGTAGGAACAATCGTTCTAAGAGGAAGACAATATGATGAGCAGCAGGAGAGTCAAACTATTTACGGCTTGTGTCCTATAAAAGAATATTATTTCTCCCCTCTCCTTATATGCAATAGGCACAGCGACACATCGGCCTATGGTGTATAAGGGAGATGAAGTTGCTGCCTGCTAGGCGGGTGCAGCACGCTGCAGCACACCACTGTGCTGCAGCACTTGCTGCAGGACAGTCCTACATAAGTATATACACAATTATAATGATGTACAGTTGTATACAACATATAACAACGCCAATCAGTCTATCCTCTACATCTATAACCACCCCCACCTCTACCCACCAAGAGAGAGAGTATCGTTGCCTGTCTGGTGTATCTACTGTTCTATTGCTCCTCTAGCAATTAGCTACCTTGTTACCTCCGTCTTGTTAGCTGATTGTTATACTTTTCCCTTTATTAGTAATTCATCTATTTGTATCCCCATTTCTTTCCCAAGGAAGGAGGAGTCCCTGTCCCTGTACTCTGTGAGTATAGTTGAGGTTGCTGCAGCGGGGAATTCAATGAGGCCCATTAGGCAGCATACTTGCTGCTGCTGCTGCTGCTGCTAGTAGTAGTAGTAGTAGTAGATATTTATAATAATTTAGTGTATAAATACTTTTTTTCTTAATTATTTCCTCCTCTACTGTATGCACTAACTTCGTTGAATCCTTCAAATCGTGTTGGTCTTAGTAAGACCATCATGATGAATTGCATGCATTTCTCCATTGTCTACCGCTGCACTTCTTTATGGGGCTGGATACCCGTCAATCCTTTCTCTTATAGATTGTATTCTTACTCTTCTTACCCTACATAATGTAGTTAATGGGGGGCACAGGGACGAGAGGACTCTCTCCTCCCTCTCTACCATCTACAGATCGGTAGGATCGTCAAGAGGACCATCGGCCTCAAGCTGTGTGTTCAACCAATCCAACGTAACAGTTATTA